TCCGATTTGAATCTGCTTGCACAACATTTGGCTAGCTAGCTCTCAATCTATAATTCCGCACTATATATAAAAAAAACTTTAAAACTCCCTGACGCCCGTTACTTCAGGCAATGATAGAAAGTAAACATCGATGATAGCCGGTAAAATTGCGCTGGTGTAGTGGTTTCCAATTATTACGAATGCGATCTGGGTTTAATCCCGAATTTGTTTGCTTAAATTTAGGTTTTCATCTTTATAAATCATGATGTTGAGGTTTTTTTTGTAAGAGATGATGGAACATGATTTTTAAATTGGCGAAGGGACCTTTTCATGCGTCGTCGTTAGTTCCGGTCATTTTTTCAACTTTAACATTTTAACATTTTTCTGTAATATTTGTAGGTTAAGAGAGCCTCTTTTCAAAATACTAAATATATAATTTGTTTTCGAATTGATCAATCCAAACTCTTAATATTTGTCATTTTCACTTTGAAGCGAGAGTTGAAATGGCGTAATGGTTAGCGCGTTGGATTTTCACGCTGACGGCCAGGGTTAAATCTCCAGAGTGTCTGAATTTTTTTTCACTTGTTCAGCATGAATTTACGTTTTTTTTTTTTTCAAAATCGGATGGAAGATCTCTCATTGCTCTCAATGAGTTTCTAGTTTTTATTTATTTATTAATTTTTTTTTTTTTGCTTTCAAGACAGTCTGAATCTTAATTCTTAATGACAAAAGGGTCCAGTCTTGTATTCCACCATATTTCAAGTTGAAGACTACACCTTGTATTTCCTACAAATATACATCGACTATTGCTTAGAAACTTTTTAATTACAAGAAAACTCTACAGGCCTTGGATATCGAATATCTGAAACATAATCATCCGTGTTCTTGTTCTTCTTCACCCTATAACTATAGTCCTGCGGGATACAGACCTGTTTACCCAAATTAGTGTCTCTCAGTATTTTTCATTAGATTTGTCAGTGAGATTTGGCATTTGCCCGTACGATTTCACATTTCATCGACTGTACATAAACTATATTTCTGATTACCAAAACATGGTTTAATAACAAAGCAAAACGTCATACACTGCTCTCATTTGAGTTATTTCTGTCATTTTTTAAACCACCGCGTTTTGGCAACTTAAATGTTTGAAAATTTTCTCTTCTTTAGCGATTTAAAATCGTCAAACTGAGACATATAACGAACACTAATTGATAAAATCCATATGAACGGATTTCCGTATTTTCGTTATAGCAAAACGTAAGACGTATTTTGGACTGAAAATCCGTACAAAATACAGCGAAATCGTAAAAGTAAACAGGTCTGTGGACATGTTATTATTGGTGATGAAAATATAGTTAACAATGAGGACCTTAGATCACTCAATATTAAGCAATATGAAAACCATCTATCCTTCTGTTTTCAATAATTCAGAAGTGAACAAAGAATTAGATAGATTACAAGATCAGTATGTACTGGTCCCAGCTGACAAAGCAGGTAACAACATTGTCTTTGTTTGTAAGGCTCATTATATAAATTGTATTTTAGAGGAACTTGGATTTAATTCTACAAGTGGTAATCCACCTTATACCCATAGCCCTTTCTAAGGAGAAAATTCTTCAAAATCATATTCCAGCAACCAAAATGAATTTGAATTACCATATCTATATTAAATTCCGAAACTTCTTACAAACAAGATACATAGCTGGTTCCAGTAATTGTTCTTCCAAGCCTCTTTCTTTACTCCTCACTAAGATATTAACAGTAGTGAAGGAGTAACTTCAAGAGTACTGTGCAACAATATATTCGAGAAGTGGTGTAAATCATATGTGGATACTAAAGAATTCCAAGGAACTTTTGGAACATTTGAAATCACAAAATTTCACCAAAGTCAACAACATAAAAACTTATGACCTTTCAACTTTATATACAGCTATTCCCCACGATAAATTAAAGTCCATATTTTCTGACATCGTTGGCAACTGGTTTTTCAATAAAAATGGAACTCGTAGTTTTACTTACCTTGTCATTGGTCATTTGCAAAATTAATTTGGTTAAAAAACAATCTGATTGTACACACAAGTACTCTGAAGTTGACATTAAAAAGATGCTCGATTTTCTGATTGACAATATCTATGTAGTTTTTGGAGACCAAGTCTTCCAACAATCTATTTGAATCCCCATGGGTACCAATTGCGCCCCGTTATTAGCAGACCTATTTTTGTATTCATATGAAGCAGAATTTGTTCAAAATCGTTTACGTGAAAAGAAGAAAACACTTGCTGTGGCCTTCAACTCGACATTTAGATATATCGACGACGTATTGTCAATTAACAATGGTTATTTCCATTCTTATGTCGACACATATATCCCGGTGAGCTTGAGAAAAAAGATACCACAGTCTGACACATCTATTTCATGTTTGGATATTTTATTAGAAAAAGACATTAATGGTAATCTAACAACAAAGCTTTATGATAAACATGATGACTTTAACTTTTCACTCGTCATCTTCCCTTACTTATGCAGTAATATATCCTTATCACCTGCATATGGGGTTTATATCTCTCAGTTGATTCGATACGCCAGAGCATGTTCTACGTATTACCAATTTCTAAAACGAGGTAGGTTATTGACAAACAAGTTGATGAAACAAGAATATCAGCAGTCTCGCTTAAAGTCATCATTTCGTAAGTTCTATGGTCGGTACAATGACCTTGTCAGCAAATATAATCAATCATTAAGTCAAATGCTGACTCGCTTTTTTCATACTGATTGTTAGTCCATTATTTACACACTGAATTGTCGACGGATTTTTCCGTTATTTCAAGATCATAACTAGGAGCACACGCCGGGTGTGACCGGTCGGCAGGGGATGCTCACTCCTCCATGGCACCTGATCCCATCTCTGATGTCTTAGAGGTCCGTATTTGCTCTGCTCCTATTTTATAATGTTTAATGGACTTTTGAGCTCGAATACTGTTCGTTATCTCCAGATATTTCATCTGAAATAAAAATGATCACTCCTTCAGCTTTGAATATCCTGTGCTCTCCTTTAATATTCAATTGTGAAAGTACTTTTTGAAATGCCAAATTTTGTTTGCTGCCAATTTGATCCTTTGCATCAATTCCACTTGTACCTGAATGATGTAGATTAGAAACCAACAAAATATGTTTAAAGAGTGAATTTTAGCATTTGCAAAATCAGGTATTTTTGTCTGTGATTTATGTAGAATTGCTGTCTAGTCTAGTTAAAAAACAAAGAATTTTATTCGAATGGATCATATTCATCTAAAAAAAAAATGTATGGCACGTTCAGACAAAACTATCTTATATAAGCGTTTTTTAAAAACAATATAATATATATAATCATAAAAGTAATGTCAAAATTGACAAGGATATAAAAATAATTTAGCAGATTTTTATTTATTCTAATTGAGAGTACATCGTACCACAGATTAATGAGAACACAATGTACAAAAATTTTGCTTGCAAACAGGTTCGGAGTGGGCAACTGAATATAATAAATAAATTTTTACGTAACAGTGATATACATGTTAAACAACAACATAGTGTGTTTTTATGTATTACTAGATGAAATCCCGCGCAAGCGCGGAGAATTGAATTTATGCCACTACCGACAGAAAAATTCCGATAATACATATTTTGTAGTTTCTACTGACAGCTTGCAGGCTTATAGCAGGAAGAAATACTATGTTCAAAATCCCGCATGAAATAGATGTACGTCTCCCCCCCCCCTTTTGTAAAAACTTGAAAAATAAAATTGTTAATAGACACTTTTTGTGAAACCTGTTATACTGTGTAATGGCTATTTTACTTCAGATGCTCTTATTTCATTTCCGGCAAGGATAAAAGCAGCGAATATGCATATTTTACTGATAATTTGATTATTTAAAATTTTATTTATTATTTATTTATTTGTAAAAATTCATGTATGTACCTTATTGACATGTGAAGAATGTACTTTACTTTTTTTTTTTACATATCAATAAGGTACATACAAATATAACCGAGACCCAAGTACCTGTGTAAAAATAAGCTCTTAACGCCCTATGAATAGGCCGAGTATATGATACAAAAGACTGTATTCAGAAAAAAAATGAAATGTTTTGATTAAAGCCCAAAATTTAGAGCTTTAATTGTATTTGAACAATATCTTATTCACTAATTTTCTCTTTTCATGTAAGCAAGTTTATTATGAAGACAAATTGCACTCCAGGTTCGTTGCCACGATGCTCTCAGTGAGGAATATATACAAATTTTACCGATAAAATTATTAGGAATTAGTCTTTCGATATATAAATATATTCACAACATAAAGTGTTATCAATGATTTATTATTTCAATGACCATTCACACAAAAGCTTTTTTATGCCCATTCAGTTATAATCGAATCGTTTTTGTTTTTAACATCGGGCTCGATGCTATATGATGTTTTAGAAGCTTCCGTCAATATTAAGATTGGTGATTGACGAAAATAATTTGCACATTTCCTTTTTTAATAGTTATCACAACCTATTTCTTTTATATCATTTAAATCAAGTTTTAATTGAATAATTCAGTGATGACGTTTTATGAAATAAATAAATGATTGCTTGCTGTCAGTTTCATTAAAAATTGCCAGTTACTTAGATCCGCCAACCGGAACCGCCAATGTACTTACGTTTTTGCTATTTCATGGCTGTTTATAGAAAATGAAAGTAGACTTTTAATTTAACATACGATACTTACTATGCGAGTGAAATCTAAAAATAGTTTATCTTGTATCTAGTGTATTCATAGAGAAGTAGGTAAGAACTCTCGTGCACCCATTTCGGAGTTTATTTGCAAAATTTATTAATTTATAAGTATATATGCCTAATAGTAGTCAGGGTTTGATACCTAGTGCAGTTACTTATTAAGCTTGTGCACTACGTGTCAAATCCTGACTACTATTGGGCATCTATAGTATATTATTTGGGCATAGTATATGCAAAACACAACACTTAAATAAATGGACTAACCTTGATCACAGTTTGTTGATGTCCAACCTGCAGTACAACCGAGTGAACAATTTCCAGTCACGTGATCACAAATACCACCAAAGCAATGCCCACAACTGTACATACAGTTTGCACCATATGTATTATTCGAACACTCTACAATAGTTGACGTCAAAATTGTAAATCTGAATTGCTTAAAACTACATATTTAGCTTTTTGAAATCATAATCATTGTAAGTTGAGTAATCTTTACCATCTGTGCAGTTTTCTCCGGTATACCCAGCTTTGCAAATACAAGATCCATTGATAGCGTTACACTGTTCACAGTTTTCAAAGCAGGGTCTGCAGGGGCTACCATACTGATTTCTAGGGCATCCTAATTAAAAAAAAATATGCGTAAGTAATCTAATCATACAAGATTACTTACCTCTATCCGAATCACAAAATAATAATACATGTATTTATTTCTTTAGTCTTTTTTGGCCATATATATTATCCAATATTTCTTCTCATTATAATCTTTTTTTCTAAAAACAATGACTTTGTAAGATTGCCAATTTAACTGGAAGGAAATTTTGAAAATTGCTTTTGTCATCACTGGCGGATTTAAGGGGGGGCGTGGGGGGCGCACGCCCCCCTAAAATTTTCAAAGTATGATATGACTAATATCAATAATGCAATACTTTGGTATATAACAAACCAATACCGCTATTTTTGTGCCTGGTTTTACTCTTAAAATACACGAAAATCCAGGAGCTTCCGGGGGCTTCGCCCCCTGGGCCCCCTCTATTCAAAGTATGATATGACTAGTATTAATAATGCCAAACTTTGGTACATATAAACTAACCAATACCCCTATTATTGTGCCTGGTTTTACTCTTAAAATACACGAAAACCCAGGAGCTTCCGGGGGCTTCGCCCCCTGGGCCCCCTCTATTCAAAGTATGATATGACTAGTATTAATAATGCCAAACTTTGGTACATATAAACTAACCAATACCCCTATTATTGTGCCTGGTTTTACTCTTAAAATACACGAAAACCCAGGAGCTTCCTGGGGCTTCGCCCCCTGGGCCTCCAACAGGGCTTCGCCCTGGACCCAGTTATCCACGCCCCCCCTAATTACAAATCCTGTATCCGCCCATGGTCATAGTTCAAGATCTCCTCCAAGGAGACTGATTGATTGTTTGTTGTTTAACGTCCCTCTCGAGAATTTTTCACTCATATGGAGACGCCACCACTTGCCAGTGGAGAGCTGCAAATTTTGACCTATACTGGGCACTCAGGGCCATTTTGCAGTGAGGGATCTGTTTCGTGCCAGCACCTTCTGCGACACGGGACCTCGGTTTATACGGTCTCATCCGAAGGACCGGTCTCCACATTCCACAGTGGGATTCGAACCGGCGAGGTAAGGATCAACTCCTTACTCCGCGACTCTAAAGCAGACGCTCTAACCACTGCGCCACGCGGGCGACTACTCCAAGGAGAAGAGGGGTGTCTACGTAATACTTTATCAGGCACAGCGCTTAATCAAAATATAAAACTTCCATAATTTGATTATATTTTTGTATCTCTTATTCCCTTAAATGCCTACTTAACACATGTTAAGGCATATTTTTGATTATTTTGATATTTTTTTATTGAATAGTTTGTGGTTCGAACTAATCATTTGTTGTACGAGTCATTTGTGTTTGAGATTTTCGCCATACTCGAACGTGAATTTCTTGTTCATTTCAATCCCCTGCTATCTACAGTGGAAGTTGTTAAAAGATTTTTTTATGTGAAATTACTTGCTTATTAACTCGTTTATTTGAGTGTTAATTACTATTGATGCTAACCTTGGCATATTTGTAAACGTTGTAAATTATGTACGGAGTAGGGTGCGCAATTATGAACATAAGTTTTTGATTAATGTATTGTCATCTAAAAATTTGATCTATATATACATATGGTAATGTTTTTCGAAGTAATACGCTTTACTATCACAGTTTTAAGTATTTTATTATTATTTATTATTATGTAAAATGTAATCTGCTTGCTTTAGTTATAAGCACACCTTTTAAATACATTTTTTCTATGCAAAGCCATAGCTGTCATGGAGTTTTCGTAATTTGTTGAAGCTTTTTACCATATCCATATGGTTAAATTTCTGCTTATTAAAGGTAATTATTGTGGCAGAACAACACAGCTTGCAAAAAAGAGAAGGTCTTACCGTTTATTTCTACTTCACAGATGGAGAGTGAGGGTCTGAACGTTTCTGTGACGTCATCAACCGACAAACTGAACCACATAAAAGAATTGGAAATTTGTGTTGGATATGGAATTATTATAACACTAGAGGAAGAGGCAGGTATCGCTCTAATCCCAGAATACTGGTACTGTGATGCACAGTATCGACATGTGTTATAATTGAATAAAATGGATGCATTGTCTGTCATGATAAGAAAAAAAAAACAGAATTACAAAAAATAAGCAGAGGAATCAAAAGAGCAATGTCTTTACAGCTCATTGATAACATTGCCATACCTTTATTGATAAAATAAAATCGTATATCTTTAAAGTTGTAAAAACGCTGTAGATGTACGTTTAAATAATAGCTCCTTCCAGTCCTTAAAACTGTGCAGCTTGGCTGTGAAGTAAATCCATCGAACAAACGATAGGAAGATGGATTATACCAATGTTCATCATAGTAATGCATGTTTGAATATGTTTGTAAAGCCACATTTTCGGTATCTACAAAGAAAAATTACAGCTTCAAGTGTTAAAAAGTGAGAAATTTGTGTGGAATTATATAATATGCCGTTCTTAACAATTTTAACAAACTGTTCTTTTGGCACCCTGATTAGAATTAAACATCTTCATTAATCTCACACCAGTAAAGATTGAGCTGATTACATGTAAGTTTCCATACACTGTACATGTATTTGTTTTTCGACAATGTGAGAATAACTAGATGTCATTGAGATGTTGACCATCTCAACGGCTCCAATCTTTTTTGTATAGTTCATTGGGATGAAATGGACTTGTAAAGAAATGTATTTGGAGCTTGACCTTGACTTACATTTTTACCCATGGACACTCCTTAGGAGAGATATAAACCAGATGGGACCACAGGTAGAAAAGTATCTCTATAAAGATTTAACAAAGATTGCTATTACCTTGAATCTATAAAATTGTTTCAAGGTCACTGCATACCAATAATGTTTGAGCACATTATGTATAAAATATATAAAATACAAGTCAGAATATGCCAACTGGGGAGACAATAAGCATCACTACACACTCTCTCTCTCTTCCAACAGGCAATCTAGGAGTTACGCTCAGGAGAGTGAGGCAAGGGGAAAGAAAATATGCTTCAAACAAGGATTTAAATCGAAGATGTTTTTGACTTTGACCTTTGATTTAAAAATTTGTCAAATCGCTGCACGTCCTCTTTCTACAAGCACTTTATACTTGCAGTTTGTACAGCGAGTCAAAGGAAGAGAAACTATGCTCCGGACAAGGATTTTACAACATATTTTTTTTACTTTAATCTTTGATATAATTGCCTTAAGGTCAATGCACAAACTCTTTCCAAAAGCACTCTATGTGTAAAGGTTTGAAAAGTTTAAGCCAAGTAGAGAAACAATACGCTCCGGACAAGATTTAATGCATGTTGATGACTTAGGAAATTGGTTCAAGTTCACTGCAATCTCGCTAATCATGGACACTCTATTGGTGAAGTTTGAGACAGTTAGAGCCAAATATTCAGAAAGAAATATTACAATGATCCGCCGTATCACAATGTTGTGACAAGCAAGGTCCTAAGATTTTTTTTTTTGAAAGTTCGCCTACCTCAAATATTTGAATATTTACCTTAATGTCTAGCAATCTAGTTCAGAAAATCTCCGTTTAGAATGATAGAACAATGATTGGTATTTCAGGAAATCTCTGTTTATAAAGATCTAACATTGATCAGTATTGAAAATAATCTTACTATTTTATGAGTTCTTAATACATATGTGAAGTCAAAAGCGGTGGTATCGCCTGATTAAGATTACATACCTTCAAAGGAAATTTGAGTTAAAAAGGAAAGGCGATTTAAATACGATTATTCAAACCATTCCTCACATCGAAGGAAGTTCTTATCAACATGTTGATTGAAAAAAAAATCCATGATTCAAGTATTTTATCTTTGTCATCGCTATCAAATTTGAAGTTCGGAAGCAGGTTCACTATCACAAAAAATTATATGCAAGATAAAAGCTCACCGTATGACTCGGTCATGCTATGACCTTTGACCCCCTAATAAGTTCATAGAGAATTGAACAATAAGTTTATATAAGGGAAATATTTGCAAATGTAAATTTTTCTAGTTATTGCATCCAGCTAAACTAGATGCTGTCATAAGACAGTAATACCGCACTAAGGTGTTTGCCTCTAAATGCAGACTACTTCATATTTGGGTTAGCATGGAAAAAGCCACAATAATTCTATAATTTACTCAGTTCACGTATTTGTCAAATCGAGCATAATATGCTCAGGCGAACATGTGACCCATGAGCCCTCATGAGCCTCTTATGTAAATATTCAATATTCTAAATTCATTATTAGTCTGGAATTACAGATTTTAAGTAATGATGTAAAGTATGGCCTAAAAAAACTAGGACGATTAACAGTTTTGAAACCTCTTTTTTTGCCAACATTAAACCACATTTTTTCCTCTCTTCCAAATCCCTCTGATTCACTTCTTAAAGATTTAGAAAACACCATTTATTCTTTTGTAATGGGAAGTAATACCTTTAGACTGGAAAAAGGTGTTTGTATTAAGGATTTCAAAAATTGTGATTTCAAGATGATTAGTATCAAAGAGTTTATTATGTCTCTGAAATTTGTATGGATGAAAACTGTTATACTACAAAGTAAAAATTCACATTTAGCTCTTGAGTTAAATTTAAAGAAAATAGTTTTATGCGGAGAAGAATATATCCTCAAGAAAATAAAAGTCTTCATAAGTACAGTATATAAACAAATTCATATGACTACATCATAATTTTGTTTCCATCAATTATTTAAATGTGTAAATTGTCGTGTGTTGGACATGGACTTACACTCATTAACAAATCGAAATCACTGAGGAATTTTAATATCAGCATAACTCCTGCACTGAATTTCCTGAAACTCTGTAGGTATTTCAGACATAATGTATAGATTTGTATATTACCAAGAAATTTTTATTCCATTATTTATCTAGAAACAATTAAATTTGTAACATACAAAGATTTGAATGTCCTTATATGCGAGAAGTTTTGATGTGATGATTTTTTGCAAGTAATGCCCCTTTTTGAATTATACTGTATATTTAAAATGCACTGTGCTATTCAGTACATGTTGCATTGTCGAGTTTTCGGGGTGCTTGGGGTATGTGAGCTTGCTCACTTTTTCTTTCATTAATGAAGTTGAAAGTACCTACATGTATGACAGGCGGTTAGTACAAGTTTAGATTTGTTTGTTTGTTTGTTGTTTAACGTCCCTCTCCAGAATGTTTCACTCATATGGAGACGCCACCACTTGCCGTTTGAGAGCTGCAAATTTTGACCTATGCTCGGGCACTTAGGGCCATTGAGCAGTGAGGGATCTTTTTCGTGCCAGCACCTACTGTGACACGGGACCTCGGTTTATACGGTATCATCCGAAGGACCGATCTCCACGTCCCACAGTGGGGTTCGAACCGGCGATGTTAGGATCAACTCCTTACTCCGCGACTCTAGAGCAGACGCTCTACCACTGCGCCGCGCGGGCGACTTACAAGTTTAGGTATAGAAAAGGTTAAATAATCTGAAATGCAAATGGTTTGGTTATAGTTTAAAAAGGGTCATCGGATTCCTCATGCAAATTGTTCATTGAAGCAAGTCCATGAGAGTCATTCCCATTTCCTGGATATGAAAGTCGGAAACCCCAAAGCTGTCTTTGTATTATGACAGATTAAATGGTATAAGGGGCCATGACCTCCAGAGGTTTCCCTGGCCAACCCCCTGTCCATGGAAGAACAAATAATCATTTAACTCAAAAATGATTGAAAACTTCTCCCCTTGACCATATATAATTTTGTTTCTTGTGTCATTATGTAGCTAATGGTATAAAGCTAAGAGCCTCTGGAGGTCATCCCCACCCCCTTAACTGGAAATGTTCACAATATGACCTGCATCAAATTCAAAAGTGCATCAATGATAAGTTTGCTTGATATTCCATTCAAAATTTTGAGACAACCCACCCTCCTAGAATTATGAATGAAAATTATTCAGAGAGACACACTATTAAATTTTGTGCACTTTTGTGTATACATTCACAATTATTTTTAATGTCAAAATATTGGTTTGGGGGCAGGGAGGGGGGGGGAGGAGAAAGAATTATCTCTTCATGTCTTTATTGTTGAAAACTCCTAAAATTTGTGAATATTAACCCCACTTCTGACTTTCATCCTTATTTACTCTTCTGCATGTCAACATACATGTACATGTTTATTAGTCAATAGATATTATGTACACGTTTGGTCATATTCCTGGTTCTCCCTTGAATCTGAAATGATGATATAAACATTTAAGGAATAATTAAGAGTTGAACAGGTCTTTGATCTTAAAATTGATTAAGCTCTGTTGTTGAACTAGCTATACCGGTATAGCTTGATTTTGCTATTCGAAACATCATGATTAGCTATCTATGATCATACTCTTTTTAGGTCACCTGAGTCACTCAGGTGACCTATTGCTATCTCTTTTCGTCCGTCGTCGTGCGTCGTCCGTCGTTCGTAAACTTTTGAACATTTTCAGCTTCTTCTCTGGAACCAGTGAACCAATTTCAACCAGATTTGGCATATAGCATCTATGGGTGAAGGGGAACAAAAATTTTGAAATTCGTGGCCCCTGCCCCCCTGGGGCCTGAGGGGTGGGGCCAAAACCATCAAAATTAATGCAATCTTTAGCAATTTTCTTCTTTACTCCTGGACATCAAGCAGTCAAACTGTTGGCATGATTGTAATAAGCATTGAGCCCTCTACCAAAATTGTGAAATTCATGGCCCCAGGGTCAGGGGTTCTGGTGCTAGGGCGGGGCTATTTAGATCATATAGTGAAAGTGCATTATTTCTTTGAAAATCTTCTTCTCTACTCCTGAGTATTATTGAAACAAATTGAATACATAGTTATGATGAGCAAGGGTGACTCTACCAAAATTGTGAAATTCATGGCCCCAGGGTCAGAGGTTCTGGTGTTAGGGAGGGGCTATATAGATCATATAGTGAAAG